TAGATATCTAATGAAATCAGATAACTAAATAATTTAAATGATATTTTTTTAAGATCTAACTAAAGTGATAGATGAATATTTATCCAAAATAATTTACTTATTTAAATGTGAACTCTATATCGTGATTTAGATATACAATAAAATCAGATAAACATGCAAGTTATGGTATATATTCAATATAAGCTACATACATATATGTTCACATAAAAATATATACCCCCATTAAAGAATATAGATTTGTAAAAAGTAAAGTAAGTATACATAAACTGACATAGCATATATGTGTACAACATATGATATATACAAACATTTGAGATCTGACAGATGTGAGAACAAGATCCAAGCAATAACTTGAAATGCTGGATTAGAGCGATCGCTCAGTTAATCAATCCATAGAGCGAGATCAATCGAATAGGATCTCGAAAACCCAACAATGAGTGTGAGAATAAGATCTTACTTAGGAAAAAATAGAGAATCTCATAAGTTAGGTTTCGGCAAAAAAGTTGATGGCTCTGTAACCCCAGATCTGATGGTATATTGATTGTTTTGAGAAGATTTTCCGTTATCGGAGATGCATGTGGACGAGTAGCGAGAACGATGCCAATGATGTGGAGAGTGAAGATTTGGCCGAGGTGGTGGTGGTCAGATCGGAAATAAGTAATGAGATCATCTTGGCCTTATTGGAGCCACCGAGATGGTATCGTTGAAAATAAAAAAATTGGGGTCAGAAGATACCAAAAGAGAAGAAGAATTACATTGATGAAGAAAGATGAAGAGGTGGATGGCAAATAGATAAAGACAAGATGAACAATTGTTGTAATCAAATAAATATCCAGTAGAATAACATGATACAAATGGATAGCACGTGAGGGTATTTTGGAGAGAGAGTGTGGTGAAATATTTTAATGTTCGGGCGATGAAAAACAATAGTCAATTCCCTATTTCACTACCAGTCTTTAGCCATCTAGTATAATTTCTCTTTTGCTAACACCTTTCTTTACTTTATTCATTTGTACATATTCAATTAATTCACAATGATAACCACGCGCAGATGATGGCACGAGATGTAAGAAGTTAAACTGAAATATTTTTTTTCAGCATTCTTTAGCCATTTCCTTCTAGCACATTACTCTCTTATTGTTTTCCTAATAAAATCTCCACACTTAACCATCCACTTTTTTATTCCTATATTAAAATATTTTAAAAAACTCATTAAATTTTTTTTAAACTATGGTGCACATGCACCCTCTTGTTATAACGTAGCTTCGCCCTTGTTTTCAGCTCAAAAGGAATGCCTCTCTCGGTTTGGTACTTTTATGTGTATAGATATTTTGTACGAGCGAACGATTGGAATTAATTTACTTACTTTAGAGTAAAATATTTTCCAACTGTAAAATTTGTAATTTGGTTTTATTACTAGCTTGAATTCGTACACAAGTTTTCAAATTATTAGTTGATACAAAAACTTCGAAATTCAGATAACTCTCAAGTTAAATTTTTGAGAATTGTGGTTTCAACTTTCAACGAGTTTCATCTGTTTATGGAAACCCTTGAGGGTTACTTGGGGTAGAAGGCAGCCAATTATCAGAGTCGTCGAATCTTGGACCAAGGGGTTCGGAAGGAGGGGCTTGATCTATGAACGGAAAGGGCGGGAAATCGGGGAGAGATGGCCAAACCGGAACCGGAGACCTAGGCCTTTCAAGATCGGGAAATGTCGGCGGGGGCGAAAGGACAGGCAGATCAGGCGGAGGCGGTGGTGGCGTCGCTACTGCTTCTTGGAAAGATGGAAATTCAGGGAATCCGAGGTCGTGAACTGGTGAATTACGACCGGAAGATGGATAATCATCAGCGTCAATCTGAGCTACTTTAGCCGTGGATCTCACTAGTCGTGATGAATATGTTTCTTCAGAGTTGAGGAGTATGAAAAAAATTAAGACGACGACGTATCTAAGCACAAGTGAAAGTGAAGCCATTGTGCATTAGTGTGGATTAAGAAGATGCTTAGTCCCTTTTTGTGATTATAGAGGGTTGATGAAGAATCGAATTTATAGGTTTGAGTGAATATTTTTAGGTTTGGTAAATTCTTTGTTTTTATTTTGCATTGTGTTCCTACTTTCCACCAAAGTATATGTTAGCATTCAAAGTCAAACGTCATGTCAAGGAGGAGGGTTTTGACTAAGATCGTTAATCGTATCCCACTCTACTAGGTCAACGGCAATGAACAAGAACCTTTTCGCACACACTACATATGATTTTAGTTTTGTATAACCAGAACCAAACCGATTAGAACTTAAATTTATGTAAATTTTTAAATAAAATATAACTGTTGAGCCGAAACTCCGAAACTAAAAGCATATAACCGTACGTTTCTGGAAATTTACTATTACAACCATTTATGTGATCACCAAGGTCTATTCCTTGATACCCAATATCGTTCCCCTCCACGGCTCCACATATATGTTGGCAATGTTGCACATAAACATATTGCCAGTGTCATGATCCTAATACCTAAACCGTTTTGCTATTTTCAAGTAATTCATAGGTGACCCAAAAAAAGAAGTAATTCATGACTTTTTTTTACTTTTGGAAAAACTCTGTATCTGTGTATTGTGGCTTTATCGGTTGTCAACTTTATAATGGGTTCTTGATTTTGTAATCCTAGCACCAGACAAGTCATCTCCTAACCCATCTTACCCGAACGCTGCTCTCCAGATATAAGAGGATCCTGTCTCTGATCAATTCAAAGCTTTGTCACTCATTGCTTCTTGCATACCTGACCATAATCGCGTAGAGCACCTGGTGTTAAACATCAAAATTTTATAATATTTATTTAAGACTCGAATGATGTAATTGTATTAAAATATTTATTCTTGTGTTGTCCATAATGCATGCAAATCTCCTATATATTAATTGAAAAGTATTTTTAGAGAATAATCTTATTTGTGTAAGTATTTACAATAGTGTCATTATGCTGATGTGCCAACTCCATATTCATTCTTCTATAAAAAACATAGATTACTAGACATAGATTACTAGACTAATTACATAATATGTCATTATATATATTTTAGGTCCATAATAATGTTATGTTTCATTTAAATGAATTCAGAAATAACAATGAATGTTTTAATAATTCAGTAGACCAAGAAAATAACAAAATATTTATCCAAAGAACACTTTCTAAATATTGTCTATAAATATTTAATTATAATCTGTAATAAAATATATAATAATTTACTAATGTTTGTTACTTTCATCCAAAAACAGTTTATTAATTATTCATAAAAAAATATAAAATAAAAGTGGGCATGATAATTCTTATACCATATAATTAAAATAAAAAAATCATTTAAAGAATATTTTTGTCAAAAATCAATCAGAACAAATTCAATTAAGTCATAATGATTTTATTTATCGATTGTTGTAATTATATATAGCAAACACAAAAATGACTGTCCAACACATATATAATACTTCAAAACCATATATTTTTCATTAATATATTTTAACAATTCATAAATGTATATACAAAACAATATGATTAAAAATATTTGTCATTTTCGAATTATAAGAAAATCATAAATAAGAATATCCGAAATTGATATGAGTTCATTTATTATTATAAATAATTTTTCAGACCATATATTTTAAAAATTCATAAATATATATACAAAACAATATAACTAAAAATATTTTGGATTTTCGAATTGTAAGAAAATCATAAGTAAGAATTATTCATAATAACTATATAAGAAAATCATAATATTGTGATTGTGATCTTTGGTGGATATTGGTTGCTTTTAAATTATTAATCAATGACAATCAATGGCATACTAATATGATAATATGACTTAATTGCATACTATGTTAAAACATAAACCGTATATATTGTTTACCAATATTAATTACTTAACGAGTATGATATGTCTTAGTAAACCATATATATTGTAAACTAATATTAATTATTTAACGAGTATGATATGTCTTAGTAAACATATATATTATTTAATATAAGGCAACCTAAAAAGATAAGTGTGTTTATATAAGTGTGTTTAGTAAACATATATATTATTTAAGAGACTTTATTTATTCAATGTTTGATTTATCATATATCAAATTCTCTTAAAAATTGATCTGTGTTTCTTTAAATTTTATTAGTGGTTAGAGAATGTTTTAATTTGTTAATTTTTAAAATAAATAACAGAAAAATAAATAAAAGCTGAAACACAAATATTTGTTTCTCGACTTTATATCAATCAATGTAATTACTTCTGAAAGAGGTACTACTATTTTGTTCATATCTCCAACATTTTTTTACTTTTCAAAGTTAATTTATTTTTTTATATATTAAAATCTTATCAAATATATCATCTTCATAATTTTTTTTTAATTTAATTTATCGAATTTAAATAATGATTTTTTCACTCTGTGCGCAGAGCGCGGGTTATCACCTAGTCGTATAAGTAAACTTAAAGTTTTTATTTCTCCTCTTAAATTTAAAGAAACTTGTATCACAATAAATTAATTGATATATGTTGTGTTACTTATTTGTTTTTACTTTTTAAATATTTAAAACAAATTTGAAATTTTCAAATAGAGTCAATTATAAATACATACTTTTGCTATTACTGTTCAAATCTACCATATTAAATTTCTACCAATTAAATTTAGCATCCAACATGCATCCACATGCACTGTAGTCCCCTGGTGCATTTGATGTTACGTACAACAATATATTATTACATATAATAATTTTCCAAAGAAGAACGTTTATATCGAATATATTTGATATATTTCGATAAACATGCAGTAGTACACTAGTACTAAACAGTCTTCCCAGCTGAATAACATTGACTCTTCGAGACCATCCCATATGAAAAGAAACATTCCGAGGTTATAGTATTTATGACATTTCTCAAACAAGGTGTCAACGCCTATATTTAAAAAGACAGAAGAGAATTAGTAAAACTTTTAATAACCAACCATTTCAATGGAGCATGATGGGTACGTATACATTGAATTATTCGATTCTTTTTTTTTATTTAAATATTGATTTGTCTTAATTCAGACGTCCTATATAAACAGAGTTACCTCCTAGCTAATTCGGCAACACATGAATTGATGATATAATGGCTCCTTCAACCACTTTAACACTAACTGTAATACTAATCCTCAGTCTCACTCCTGAAAACACGACCAACGAAGTCGCTAGGACATCACGGCGCCAACGAAGTCGCTAGGACATCACGGCGCCTTTTGAATGATAACTATCCGGCGGTACATGAAGTCGCTAGCACGACCAACGACAACGTGAACCCCTTGCCCTTCGGCGGCACTGCTGATCCGGCGCTGTCAATCTTTCCTCCGCTACCGTTTGCCCCTGCACCATTCCAAGGGAATATCCCACGATTACGGTCACCTTCACGTCCATGGTACATTGTGCCTGCCCCTGGTTTCACGTTTCCTACTTTCCCCTTCTTCAAGCCAACGCCACCGTGATCATGTCCACAACAAGAAGGGTTGATGAAAACTTGAAATACAAGTATTAGCTCATAACGTGATCTATATAATAAATTATCTCAATATCGATCATGTGTAATCGGAGATAATAATTAATATCATGGTACGAAAAATGTAATAAAAACCAATCGTGCAACGAAGGCTTCGGGAATGAGGGGAATAATGAATTCCTATTCATTCCTTAAAATTTTTACCATTTGCTAGTAATAATATTTCCCTATCATTCCTTCTTATTCCTTATCATATAAGGAATTATAGAACAAATATATTCCTTATTAAAATTGGAGAGGAACAAAATATATTTATTTACTTCTTTATTTATTTTTCATTTCTTTCTTTTGTTCCTTTTATTCTTTTCCTTTTCATTCCTATTCTTTTTTTTAATTGGTGACCAGTTAAAGCCAAAATATATTGAATAAACTTTATTTGGGCTTAGATCAAGAAAAGCCTTTAATGAATCTACAACATATAGAATCAAAATGTTGTGTTTATCTCCAATCTCTCGTCTTTTATGTTTTAAGATAATAGACATAATATACTTAAATTGCTAAAACAATGCATGATATACGCACAGATTACAAAAACAAGTAGAAGAATCTAGGGTTTAATCACTTTGCAGCACTCATGAAACGCAAAAAGATAGTTGAGATCCCTCTTGATCTGCTGCTGGAGATTCTCACCAAATTACCTGCGAAGTCTCTGACCAAGTTCCAAATCGTTTCCAAGAAATGGTTGTCCATTATCCGGAGCCAAGGGTTCATCGATACCTTCGTCTCCATCTCCTCGACACGATCGCGGGTTTGGGTCGCTTTCGCCAATGGTATAGGCAGCGTAAAGCGCGAGAAGAGACGCTTGTTCTACTTCTCCTCTTCACATGAGGGACATGAATCTTCTTCTCTGGTAACCAATCTCGACATGACAATACCTTACCTAAGCGTGTGTAATCACTACGAGTCTTGTGCCTCTGTCAACTTTATAATGGGTTTTTGATCTTTAACCCTAGCACCAGACAAGTCATCTCCTTACCCATCTTACCCAAACGCCGTCATCTAATTATGAGATTCACGTGCTTGTGTTACGATCCTGTCTATGATCAATTCAAAGCTTTATCACTCATTGCTTCTCTCATACCTAATCATGATCGTGTAGAGCATCTTGTGTTAACCCTAAAAGGTGATAAAACAAAATATGCATGGAGGCAGATCCAAGGTGGTGACAACAACATCCCGCCTTATTCCCCTTTGACTATGAGAATATGGATCAACGGCAAAGTGTATTATGGTGCTTGGCCCCCTAAACAAGGTATGAATCCAGTGATTATGTGTTTTGATGTTAGATCAGAGAAGATAACTTTTATCAGAGCACCTGTTGATGTCGTCGTGTGCTTGGCTTACGGATCGATATTTTTGATGGAATACAAAGGGAAGCTAGCTTCCATAAGATGCCCTGATGATCGTTTCCATAGTTTTGATTTTTGGGTGCTAGAGGACGTTGAGAAACCTGAATGGTCAAAGCAAGTATGTGCGATTCCTCTCTCTGTAGGACAATGGCTTTTCGAGGCACCAACAAGGCTGGTGATGAGATCATTCTAGCACCAAGATACTTGCCACGCGAGCTTGGACCCTTTTACATTTTCTACTACCATGTAGGAACAAACAACATCAGAAGAGTTAGGCTCGAAGGGATCGCAGATGATGAAGAGTTTAGGCGTCGTTATGGTTTTGACATCACTGTTGACCAGAATCATGATGTCTATATCTCACGGGAACATGTTGAAAACATAAAGTTTTTGTGATGTTCGTTTATTGTTCTTTTTTTTTTTGCAATGTTTTTTTCAATTTTCAAGGATGTGATCCCGTTATAACTTATAAGAGCATGCCAAGATTTTTTTTTTCTCAATATATATATGTTGGGCGCCAACAAAATGGTTTGATACTATATCGATGTCTCAATATTATTCTTTAGTGATCAGATCAGCTTGGTAAAAGCCAGATCTTAGGCAATGAAGTGAAGCGGCAATATACTTGGGCTTCAAAACCGAGCAAATAGAATAGGTGCAGGCTGTACAGTTAAAAGTGAAGTGATTGTAAGCTATGTTGCATAGAAACGGAAATGGATACGTGGAAGCACAACGTTTCAAAACGCGGAAACGCTATTTTTTAAAAAATATAGAAATGAAAACGTTTTGGAAACGTATATATATATTATATTAAGTATTAAAGATCTAATTATAAGTAGAATATTTAAATTAATAAAATCTAACATATAACTTTTACATAATTATTAAAGTATAAAAATTAAAATATGTAAAGTCAAAAATTTAGAAGATTTTCTTTATTATCAATTTTATTAATTTCACTAACCAATCTATCTCTAATTCTAATTCATCCAGAGAATAATTTTCAAACTTAATAATCTCAAAAATAATCTTAATTACCAAATCAAAATATTTATTATTTACTATAAATAAGTAAATCGATTATTTAATTTAATTTTTATAATTATTTATTTGTTCTATAAAAACAAGAAATTATTTTTTATCTTCTTTTCAAAATAGAAACGCGTGTTTCTAAAATGGAAACGTGTTTCCAAAATGTTTCCAAATTAGAATTTTTAGGAAACGTGATTTTTCGTGTATCCGACGAATTTCCGAGAGTTTTGGTTTTTGAAACGTTTCGGAAGCGGGAAACGTACTTCAGACGGAGTTTCCATGCAACCTAGATTGTAAGTATATTCTGTTTTTTTTTCTTCTAATTAATTATTGCATCCGATGTTTCAATTAACACCTGTTGAGAAAGAAAAAAAAGTACTCCAGAACTTTTGTTGGAGAAAAGGAAAATTAAGAACTTTATTTTCATTGATTGAAAAGAATTAAAATATCCGCAATTACTTGATGGTTTCATATTTATTCTATATATTAATATACTTAAATACTTTCGACTAGAAACTATACTCAACTCCTTCTCGGCCATGAAAGGCAATGAGAGGTCAAGGACGATTCTGACAACAATCCAAGTCACATAGATTCAATCCCTCTTGATCTAACGGTGGAGTTCTAACAATATTATCCGTAAAATCTCTTATGAACTTCCAATATGTTACGAAGACATGGTGTTGCTTGCATTATCCGAAGTAAGGGTTTCATAAATTCTTCTGTATATGTGCCATTGATGCCACTATCACGACATCTAATCTCTTTCAAAAACGGTCAATTTACCAATAAGAATGCTGAAAAGCTTTTGTTCTTCATTACCTCTTCACAAGGAGAAGATGAATCTTCTTCTTTGGTAGCAAATCTTGACATGACAATGGCTTCCATGCATGTGGAGGCTTATTTGTACACATGGTGTGCTTCCGTCAATGGTTTTATCTGTTTTTCACATAAATGTCAGTTCATGATATGTAACCCTAGCACGAGACAAGTCATAACCCTACCCGAAATCAAGGTACTAATTGGAAGTCTAGTTATAAATACTCGAGGTAGGATCCGGTTGATGATCCATACAAAGTAATGTGTAAGAGGGTTTCAAATTTTAGAGAAGATCAAGAGCACATGGTTTTAACAATAGAAGGTGATTAAAAATCCACGAATGCATTTAATCAGGAGCACATGAGTATTATGGTGCTGTGACTCAAACACCATATATGAATAGAATGATAGTGTATATTAATGTTAGATCAGAGAGGCTAAGTTTTTATCAACCTACCTTCAGCGGAGGACATACAATAGGACTCTAATTCAACGTTGATAAATTACAAAGGTTTGTTAGCCATTGTCAATATTGTCCGCCTGTGTGATGAGGAATTTCTAACTTTAATATATATTACAAGATTGCAATGAACATCAATGGCCAAAGACGTTATGTTCATTTTTGAGATTTTGGTGAAATTCTTTAGGAGAAATTCCAATGTCTTTTCAAGGCACAAACAAGGTTGGCGAAATTATTATGTCCCCTTGAAGTTAGACGTCACTGCAGAATTAGGAACAATGGTAATTGCCACGTTATCTCACCGAAACATGGTGCAAACATGGTACAATTTTAGCGATAGTTATGTTAAACTCTATTTTGAGTATCCATTAATGGCGGCAGTCTTAATTAGTATATCTGTTTTTTTTTTATCTTCAAGATAATGAGAATTTGTAAATAACTTTGCACATTTTCCAACAGGTTCGTTCTTCTTGCTTCCATTGGCTTTCGCTGTATTCTGACTCTACGTTTCCAGCATAGTGACCATCAAGATAAATGGCTATACCTCCATGCGTGCGATTCGCTCCAACAGAGGAGGAGGTGTTACGAGTTTTTGTGCTACTACGTCATCAGGATGTGTTCGTTAATAACGGTCTCATCACAGAGGTTGATAGAAGAGGTTGACTTCTATCAACGCCACAAGTTTACACCCGGCAATTAGAGTTTTTTTAAGGCCACATGAACTTTGGTTTTTTGTAGAAAGAGTCGCCATCAGAGAAACAACCATTGCAGACCGCATCATCGTTGATGATGAGAGTGGTCACTGGATCTCTCGCAGAAGAGCTGCCACTAAACATGGAAATGACGGTAATCGGCTATGAATAGAGATTTCTCTTCAAAGACAAGGCCAACGTTAAACCGGTTGGCACACTCTACGGTCTGACCAATTTGAGACGTGGGCTGTTACTTGCCTCAATTACACGGATCAAGCGCCTCAATTACAAGGATCAAGCGCTTGTGGAGATCGAAGAAGAAATGGAGTGAGCTGACGGCGAGGAACAAATTCAGAATATGGCGAACGAGGAACAACGTTAGAATATGATGAATTTATTACACCTAAGATTTAATGTGGTGAACAGCAATTAAGCGCAGAAAAACGAGCTCCTTCATGCTTCCATCGGCTCTGGCTTTGTTCTGATTCTGCATTCCGATTATAACCATCAAATTCCACAAAAACGGCGGGAAAGTATCCACTCTTGTAGTCCTTGACATTTGCTTCTTTCAAGATTTTCGGTTTTGTTTCTTTTTTTCATGATACTGTGAAACTTTGTACATAGATATTAGAAGCAGTTTTGCAAGGTGAATGTAATAGTAAAGTTTTTAACCCATTTTCAAAAACATATGCACTCTATTAATTTAAGAGCATAACGGTATATGCATCAAGCGCGAGAAGAGACGCTTGTTCTACTTCTCCTCTTCACATGAGGGACATGAATCTTCTTCTCTGGTAACCAATCTCGACATGACAATACCTTACATTCTACTTCCTCTTCACCTGATGGTTTTACATTTTCTACTACCATATAGGAACAAACAACATCAGAAGAGTTAGGCTCAAAGGAATCGCAGATGATGAAGAGTTTAGGCGTTTTTATGGCTTTGATATCACTGTTGGCCAGAATCATGATGTCTATATCTCACCGGAGCATGTTGTAAACATAAAGTTTTTGAAATATTTTTCTTTATTCTTGGTTTGAACTATTCGGATTTTATATTTTTCAGGTTTTAGAAAATACAGATTCTATTCGGGAGCCCACTATGATTCGGTTCGGGTTTTAGGTTTTGGAATTGTAGAAAAAAAATCTCTCAATAATGATCAAATTATATTTTAGTTTGTTTTGGTTTGACTTTAAAAAAAAATATAATAATAATAATAATCATATTATTAATTATTAATTGGTAAGCAAGTTAGACTGTGGTTGAGAGTTATAGTGGTTGATTACCTTTTACTCCTCATGTGAATTTACTTTAATTACCCTTAATGAAATCTGTTAATTATTTATTTATAATAAATTTAAATATTACCTAATTATTCTTAATAAAAATCTTAATTATTTAATTATTTAATTATTATATTACGTCTAGATCTATTTTAGTTTTCTGCTAAACCTAATTTGGTTAATGAAACCCCTAATCTTTTGTCTTATATATATATATATATATGTATTGTTTGTTGGTTCTTTAATTGGTAAGCAAATTAGGCTGTGGTTGAGAGTTATAGTGGTTGATTACCATTTTACTCCTCATGTGAATTTATTTTAATTATCCTTAATGAAATCTGTTACTTATTTATTTATAATAAATCTAAATATTACCTAATTATTCTTAATAAAAATCTTAATTATTTAATTATTTAATTATTATATTACGTCTAGATCTATTTTAGTTTTCTGCTAAACCTAATTTGGTTAATGAAACCCCTAATCTTTTATCTTATATATATATATATATGTATTGTTTGTTGGTTCTTGGTAATTTTATATTTTAGTTCTAGATATTACGACTAGGTCTAGATTTACAATCTTTTGACTAAATTTTCTTGCTATTTTGAATTTTATAAGTCTTAATATAATGTTTTTTTTCTTTGTAGCTCATTCGATAGTTTTACTTTTTTTTGTAACTGATCTTTGTGCTATGAATATTATTGTGTTGTTTCAGCAAAATGAGGTATATTTTTGCTATGAATATTATTGTGTTATTTCAGCAAAACGAGGTATGTTTCTTTACATAACATAATTAGTTGTAAAACATATTTAGTTTGTTTGATTTTCATATTTGTATTTTTTTATCTTTTAGTATGGTGTGATCTTGGTTTTGTGATTTTATTTGTATATGATTGTTGGTGGATCATCTCATCGAACTAAGGATAGCATAATTTTAATATAAAATTGATGCTACTGATGGTGTATCAACTTTGGTTTTTCTCTTCTTGGTAATGAAATCCCAAAACTGAGGGTTTGCAGAAATTCTTTTGCGACTGATTTTCTGAAAAACAAATTAGGTTATTATTGTTTAGCTTATGACATAGTTCTTATTTATGCTTGGGTAGAATTTTTTTTCATGGTGAGTTTGATCTTCTCTTCCATGTTATTAGGTGCTTAAGTAGATTAAAAAT